TAACTCTAAGTTTCCAATGGAGTCATCATTCGTCGCCACCGAATTTTATGGGACTTCCAAAATTTATGATTATTATTGTTTGAAAATTTTGTTACTTAATGAGGATACGAGCTATTATTAATTTTGAAGTCCCCACCTAGTATTAAAATAACTAGGAACCTAAAATAGATACTAGTTCGAAATTCTAAAATAAAAAATTGATTATGCTTTTAGAAAAATATCAATCACTTAAAGCACCCATTTCCTAGGAAAAGTACTATGTCTAGTTTAGTCCTAAAGTTTATTCCTAAAAAAAATTATTTTGGACAAAATTAATCCTACCTTCCTAAGGCAAATTTCACTAAGCATTTTCTCTTTTTTTTTCTTTTCTTTTTTTATGTCTCTTTTTTTACCATCTTTTTTTATTTTATTTTCTCTATTTTTATTGTCATTTTTTTTTTTATGTTTTTGGTTGGTGAGGAATTGTCTTCGGTCCCTAAAAATTATGACTCAATGACTCATCCATCTATTAATTCCTAATTTAATTATTGAAGGAAAATTAAAAAACTAAGCATTAATTAACTAACTAAATAAATAAACATAAAGAACTTAGAAATTCCAAAAGATTAAATCTCTAGGCCTAAAAATAAAACACATGTATTAAAATTTTATAATTAATTTACTTAGAAAAATGACTAAAATTAGGGTTATTGGGCCCAATGGGCCTTAGGCCCATTAGGTCGGCTTACTTGGAGAGGTTTTCTAGGCGAGCCTACTCTTTCTTCTCTGCCTTGGGCTGGATTAAGCCCGACCTATTCCTATTGGCCTTACACGAGTTAGGCTAAGCCCAACCCTTCTCGTTTTCCTTATTCAACTCGTCCAACCAACCCAAACATAACTTATTCAAACCGAAACCGAGCTTCTCCCCTTCTTGTTTCTCTTGGACATAATGTCAAATTATTGATTATTCAAAATTTCCTTCTTTCTTGAATGAAATTCCCTTAATAGGACCCCGAACAACCCTAAGTTAACTGTCGACCTAGAACCCTTTTCTTGTTACCCTATCCTAGATGGATTAAAGGGGTTGAGCCACATGGCTCATCATTGCCATTTTTCCTTGTGCATTTTGAAAATGGAATAGGAACTAACCGAACATCATAAATAAATGAAGGGATTCGGAGTTACTTGAGTGATGCTTGAAAAACTAAAATGAATTAAAATGATAGATGTTGTTGTCTTGATTTCCTTTGTTGCGGGTGATTGATGATGATGATTGAAGGCTTGGGTTTGTGAATGATTGCTTGACCTAGGGATTATGGAATGTATTGTTGTGGGTGATTATGGACTAGACATGCCTTGTAATCCTAATGATGATGAAAACATTAGGGTTGTTTAGTTTCTTGAAACCTAGAAAACCAATAAAAAGCCAAAAATTTGAGAAACCCATAATTCTCTCTCTCTTTTTCCTCTCCTCTCAATCCCCGATGAGCTCAATTTATAGCTCGACTCCATTAAATTCCTATCCTAGGATCGTCACCAAATGATAGAAACTCTTCATTGCTAAAAATCAAAACCGATAGTGGTTTTTTTATTGTTTATGACCAAAATAAAATCGAGCAAAAATGAAATCAGTGTGTAGTGCTTGGTTTGTGTGTGGGTGCAAGTGGTACAACGGTGCAAGTGTAAAGCGTGATTCCTGATTGGATTCCTAGCTAGTACGAATGCTAGCTAGGAATTTGGTAAGGAATGATTTTGTTTTTCTTGGAAGAAGATGAATAGTACGATGGAATTGATTTTGGGTTGAAGCGAACGATAGGTCGTTCGCTCACTTTTTAGTCCCGTTGTTCGCTCATCAACTTCAATTTAGTCCTTGCATGTTTCAATTATTCGCAATTACACTTCGTTTTCAATTCAATTTCACCCATATTGGCTTTCGATTTCGAGTCCTAATTTTATTCAGTTTTGTCCCTATTTCATTCAATTTCATCCCTAATTGTTTTCAATTTCAATCCAATTATAGTCAATTACATACCTAATTAATTATGTAGTCCATTTTTTTTTGTATTTTTCTTTTCTTCCTCTTTTTGTGTGTGTTTCTTTTCTTACAAAAAATAAACAAAAAATAAAATAAAATCTTAAAATTAAACATAAAACTTGTAAAATTGATCATGAAAAATAAAATAAAGTAAATAAAAGAAATAAATTAGCAGAAAATATTAGAAAATAAATATAACTCAAATTTTAAGTTATAACGCTGAGGAAAAAAAGAAGAAAAAAAAACCTCCGTATGGAGCATACACCAATGATTACTACTATTTCTCTTTCTTCTCAAATAAGCAGGAATTAACGGTCTTTAGTTTCGCTCAAATCCAGAAAGAAGAAAAATTCCCAATTTTTGTCAATGCAAAACAAAACCAACATGCAATGTACTGAAAAAAATCAATTTAATCACCAATGACATACGAATTAAATCTCTTTCTTTCCTAAGAAGAAGTAACGAACACCATATTCACACAAAACCCTTCTGAAAATGCTACAATAGCAGCCAAAACATATCAAAACAAACATTCAAAATCAGTATAACTCCTAAAAATTGCCAGAGATAGAGGCAGAGGTGTGGTTTCTTCTTCAGCAGTACATGCTAGCTCTGTGTACAAAGGGAAAGAAATTTCGGCAAAGGACAAACTCCAGAAGGGCAATGATAAAGGTTCAACGCATTTTCATCCAAAAAATAAAAAATGAAAAAAGAAAAGGGTCCGAAGCTTTAGCAGCCCTTGCTACTTGCCTGGTGGCCTGATGGGGAAGTTGCTCCCACGTCCCTATCCAGAGAGTGAACCGAAAGACATCCATTATTTGCTGAACCAATAGAAGCACTACTCGTTTTTTGGTTATCCATGCAAAACACAAGCCAGATTGTGACTAATAATCTGGTGTCGTATCAAGTGGGGGCCTTTAGAGGACAGCGGCACGAGCCTAACCCATTCATAAATTATTTAGTAATGGTGATATTCTGATTTCGGTTTTTTTTTTTTTTTTGAACAAGATTTTCTGATATTCTGGGACTTAGGTTGTCTGTGGACCTGTTTATAATCGTGTCCTCTTACTATTTCTGCATGTGGTCCGTGTTTGCATGTGATCACCATTGGACTACGTCACTATTAAGTACTGTACATATTAACTTCACTTGCTCAGCCCTTGGCAGACACATAGCACGTTTTTGTAACGCTCATCCACTTGTTACCATTCACAAGGTTCGTCTCTATCAATTACCACCTTGCTTTAAAATAGCCATAACCTTAGCTCCTAAGGAGAAAGGTTATCTTGCAAACACAAAGATTGAATATTTGAATGGACTGTAGAATTTTGATTCAGTACTTTTGCTCTATTGTGACTGTAAGTCTGTAATCCGAAAAGAGAGAATATTATGTACTCATCGCACCCCTGAATTTATAAAATTTTACATTTTAGTCCTAAATTTTGAAAATGTTTATTTATACCCTTCAATTTTACATGTTATACACCCAAAAATCAAATTTTCTTATTCGACCCCAGCTAAATTTCTAGTTTCGCTGCTAATCAAATGAATGGATAGATCCATGAATTTCTTATTGCAAAGCCAGACTTCATAAATAACTATAAGTTCATAATATACAATTCTTATTATTTATTATCTATAGATAATTAGATATAATTATCTTTTAGTTTTATTGTATTTGAGTTAATTTGACTTAAAAGTCAACTTAATAATCTATGAAAAAACTAGACTTGTTCTGGCTGATCTAATGGATTAGGTGTAAGAACCCGAAAAGTCCCACAAATACCATACTATATATTACAATGATAGTCTCTTTAATGTACTAGTCTAAGGTTAATTCACTTTATGTTATATTTTTTAATAAATTACAATAATCTCTTTAATGTACTATAGAACTATAGAGATTTCAAAATTTTGAATATTTGACAAAACTCTCTCCACATATAAGAAAATGTTGTCGATTTTGACGTCCTTAATTACTATTTAAAAATATATAATTAAATTAAAAAATTAAAAAAAAAACTAGAGAAAAATATAAAAAAAAGTGGGACATATTTTTTTTTAGTAGAGGAACAATTTCAATTTGGCTACTTAATTTCAACCAATTTAATTTTGTTTTTAGTTTCCCTTTTAATACTCTTCCTCTAATTTTTTAAATTTCTCAACTTATATATTGTTTTTTTTTTTTTTTTCTAAATAGTAGTTAAGGACATTTTGGATATAATAGGGGTTTTGTCAATTCTTCATTTACGATGCTTCATATATATATATATATATATATATATATATATATTGCATTTTTGTACAAAAGAATCAACATTTTAAGCCAGCAACTATAAAATAAAGTTCAAAATTTTAAATTAAATAATTTTCAAATGAATTCTGATTAACGTTTTGAATTAATATGTGCTGATTTAGTTTTTTTCCCCTAATAATTAGGGTATTAATTTTATGATCAAGTTTCTGTATGGAAATCAAAATTTTTCCAATACAAATGCTCCATAATTAAACATATACATTGATGAAAAATGAAAAAATTATCTCATTCTTCTCTTAACTCAAAACTGTGTAAACTTCACTATTGACAGTTCAAAATCAAAACCTTTATGCAAGGGGAGAAAAAAAGAAAAAAAAGAAAAAAAAAATCAAAACCTTCAAGAAAGAAACTTGGGCCGTTTTGTTTCCTTTTACCTGTCTGCTGGGCTTGTCTTCAAACACTAACTAAGATCCATCATTATACCCATAAAGCCGAAAAGGTTTTTAAAAAAGATTGAAACAAAATCCAAATTCTTAAACCCTAAACCCCAAACCATCCCAAATCTGCATCGATTGTTTACAATCTTCAAACTAAATCCTGTCTTCTGGTTTATACGCTCACAGTATTAATAAAGATTCATTCTTTTTATTTATTTTTTTGATTTGTATTCGAGATTCTGTAATAAAAAAGGGAACTTTGTGGTGGGGTTTTGTGAGAGTGAATTAAAATATGGAGATAGACAGAGACCATGGTCGTTCACCAAGCCAATTAAGACCTCTCTCTTGTTCTCGCAATGTACTCCACCGTGCCCATGGCTCTGCAAGTTGGTCTCAAGGTACTTCCTTCATATATATATATATATAGGTTTTGTTTTCTATATATTTTCTGATCTTGTTGTTGATTCTTTGGTTGTCATTATAATTTATCAAATTTGGAAATTTGGGTTGTTGGCTTTTCTTTTAGTTTTACTTTTGGTGTGGAAAATTGCTAAGTGGGTGTTGAATATATTTGTTTTTTTTTTCGGTTGATTTTATTTAAGGGGAGACAAAGGTTTTAGCTGCTGTTTATGGACCTAAAGCTGGAACAAAGAAGAATGAGAACCCTGAGAAGGCTTGCATTGAAGTTATTTGGAAGCCTAAAACAGGACAAATTGGTTAGCTTTTTCTCTTTTTTTGGGGATTAAATTTTGTTATTGAAGGTTGTTTATCGACATGTACATGGGATTACTTGTTGAATAATGAAAATTACAAATTAATATATAACTTGCTAGAAATCTTATTTAAGACCTTGTAATATTTTCTTTGAAAACTAAAGTGACAATCTTTTGATTTATTTAGAGCACAAATACAAGTTAATTTGACAAGGAATACTTTCCATATTTAGTTTGGAAAGAAACTTTTGATTTAGTATCTTATACCCTATGAAACACAGTGAATTGTTTTATTATTATTATGATTATTGTTAGTGTTATTATTGTTATTGTTATTGTTATTTTATTATTATTATTATTTTTTCTGTGCTTGGCGAAGCATTTCAGTTGCCGCTTGCTTTGCTGTGTCAATCGTTATTGTTTCAATTGTATTTTTGGTTTAAACTGCTGCTCATCTGAGTTTTTTGTTTTACTAAAATTTAGCAATTGTGCAGGAAAACTGGAAAGGGAATATGAGATGATATTGAAGAGGACTTTGCAAAGTATCTGCATTTTGACTCTGAACCCAAACACCACAACATCAATTATAGTTCAGGTCAGTGGGTTGGTGCATGGGTTAAAACTTCTATACATGGCAGGAGTTTAGTGATTATGTTCCAAAAATTGTCACCCGCCCCTCATTGTCACCTTTCAAGTTATTACTCCTTGATCCTTATATCTTTGTTTGAGTGATCTTTATGTTGTTAATGCTGCATCGTTATGTGATGAAAATTATAAGATAAGATGCATACATATTTCATGTGTCTCCTAATATTATACAGATCAGTTTCATACATCACAATAATGGAGTACTTATCTTTCTTGTGCAGGTTGTTAATGATGATGGTGCTGTATCCTATTTATTTGTGCTTTCTATATGATATAGGACTAGAACTGCAACCCAACTAATTTGCAATTACAGCCTCGTTTTATCTTCTTGAAATTTTCTACATGGTATTAGCAATCGTCCCCTTTATTTGTGTGAGACCATGATGTTCTATTTTTCTCTGTCTTGCTGAGCTCTCTGCCAAGAAACAATGGGCCTTTTTGTGTTTCTTTCATTAAATGATCATGTGAAAAAGAAAAAGATTTTTTGCTAGCTTCAGTGCTTTCACTATTATATCTTGTCCTTTGGCCTGTGAAATGAGTTTATTTTACGATGTGCATTCTGTTGGTCAATTCTCGTGGGCAATAAATCCAATTTTATTTGCAGCTAGGGAATTTTTTTTGTCCATGAAGACACTATAAGATGATGATATCATTCCATTTAGGGGTATAGAAAAACAATTTGCAGATTCTCTTAACAACTATGCAATATGCATTTGCTGGATCTAAGCAGGGAGCTGTCCCTAACTCTTGCATTTCATATGTTTGGTTTGAACAGTTGATATGATTGCTATTTCCTTGACTGAAATATTCGTAGCTTCTAGTCTGTGCCATAAATGCAGCATGTGCTGCCCTTGTAGATGCTGGAATTCCTATGAAGCATCTTGCTGGTAATTAAAACTTTTTAGTCATCTTTTTGTAGTTCATATTAATTTAACGTTTGGGTGACTGATGCCATACTGCCTTCTGCAGTTGCAATATGTTGTTGTTTGGCTGAAAGTGGATATGTTATATTGGATCCTACCAAGTTAGAAGAGCTGGTTAGTATCATAAATTTATTTATGATCTTAATTTTCCATAGTAAATTTTGTTATTTCAACATGTTTTAGTACTAAGTTGAGTTACTTGAGGTTCATCCATCTAGAATGGAAGTCTTTTGGAATGAAGGGAAAAGAAAGCAACGAAAAAGTCTTAGCTCTGCATAAGTTTCTGCACAAGCCCTTAATATTTGTTTAAATTTAGGTTTCAAACTTATAAGTAACATACTTAGTGCCTGACTGCCTGTGTGGAGTGCAAAGCTGTATGCATGGTGGAGGTACAATTATTCTGTGCTTCATTGTTCTTCCCAAGTTCCCCTTGCTTACACTTATTTTATTTTTTTTTGGCAGAAAATGAGGGGATTTGCATATTTAGTCTTCCCAAACTCAGTTCTCTCAGTTCTGCCCGAAGGTTCATCACTTGTGGAAGGTGAACCTATGGAAAATGGAATCATCACCTCTGTCACCCATGGTGTAATGTCAGGTACGGTAACTTAATCATGTGATCCTGACATATATGATATTTTTGAATAGGTTAAATCTGGGGAGGTTTGAATATATTAATCATGTAACTCAATAAGTGTCTTTATTACGCAATTTGGTCCATGACTTGTCAAACTGTATCTTCTTTTTCTTTAACTTTTATGCTCGCGACATCTGATTTGTTCTAATGCAATTCCATTTGAATGTGTACCTTAGTGGAAGAATATCTCAAATGTTTAGAACGAGGGCGTGCAGCCAGTGCAAAACTGTCTGATTTTCTGAGGAGGAGCTTGCAATCACAACTTTCAAATGACTCATCCAAAGCTGCGTAATTTTAAATATGCTGGAATTATTCCATAACTACCCCGAGTTCTTTCAAAGGTTGGCCATGCCTGTTTCAACTCCATTCGAGGAATATTGACTGGCAGCTGTAAACTCAACAAGCATTCGACTGACACAAGAGATACCCTAATATTTGTGGTATACACTACGTTATATTCAGTGGTTTGTAGTTTTAATCCCGCATTCAGTCTTTGTGAATCCTAACCAAGTTTGGGAATAGTTGTTTCTATCTAAAGCAAAACCTTCAGTGTCTTGTTTATTGCTAAAACTAAATGTGTGTACTTTGTATTTCATTTCGGGAAAAGATGCTTCAAACTTACCAATGAAGCCGTAGAATACTAGAATCTGGAAGTGGCACACCTTGGTAATTGGAATCATGTGGATTTAATAGGGATTTGCAAAAAAGGAAAGGAAAGTAATAGAAGTAATAAAAAAAGAAGAATACTCTTGGAACATATATAAATATTGAAATGATAATAGAAGTAATAGAATAAAAGTAATTAAATATGAGTTTATTGAAATGCATATATATATATATATATGGTAAGTTTATCTTAATCTATAATCCTAATTTTAATAAATACCAAATAAATATTTTGGAACATATATAAATAAAAATTCCTTTTAACTTTTTATATAGTTTAAGAGAATTATTCATTATTATATTATATCGACATATTATATTTGCGTTTTTCAAAAATATTCTTTTTTAAAAATTATATTTGTATAATTTTTTATAAAATAATTTTTAATTAAAAATATTTATAAAAAATATATTATTTAAAATTTTGATATACAAACATTTTAAAACAGATATATAAAAAAAAAAAAATGCGTCCAATAGCATACAGTAAAAGTTAAATGCCCACCAAGTAAGTATTTAATAAAAGATCAATGTCCCAATGAGTTTCCATTTCAACTTTCCACTCCCTCTCAACCTCTTTCTTTCTTCACGGTGGAGAAGAGGGCTTAACTATATATTATTATCACAGAAGAAGATGGAAGATCCATCGGATCATAAGAAGACGATTACAGAGCCACTCTTGAACAGCAACCCAAAGGGTGGCTTCAGACCTTACCTTTCATCATAGGTACACATACACATACATACAAAAGCATTCAGATTACCTGAATCAGGTACCATATCTATATATACGTACATGCACAAGAATATGTAATAACCTTGCTATGCTATCATGATCATCTTTTCAAGAATTATGGGATGATGATACGATTACGTGTTTTCAATTTTGCGACAGCAAATGAGGCATTTGAGAGGGTAGCAAGTTTTGGGCTATTGACAAATGTGATATCGTATTTGCCAAGAGAATATGCCATGGATGCTGCTCAAGGTGCTCAAGTACTGTTTTTTTTGTCATCTGCCACAAATTTCTCGCCAATTCTTGGGGCTTTCCTTGCTGATTCTTATGTGGGTCGGTATCTGATGATAGTTTTTCGATGTATTGTTTGTAAAGTACTTGCATAATATGATATATTACAAGTGCATTTATATAGTTACAATCAATGGTGATAAGCATTGATTTGTTATATCAAATAGTTTAAGTAAGGATAAGAGCTAAAATAAAGAAGAAAGCATATGACCGAAACTCTTATCCTTATCACCCTTCCTCAAGTTGTGTAGGAGCTGAAAGAATGCACAACTTGGATTTGAACTTATGAAATAGAGCTTTGGATAATAGCTTAGTTAGGATATTTGTAATAAGATCGAGTAGTAAACGGATGAAAAACTTGGAGTGCCTTTTGTTTGACTTTATCTCTCACAAAATAAAAATCAATTTCAAGATGTTTGGACCGTGAGTGAAAAACGGGAGTGGTAGTGAGATAAGTGACAGAGACATTATCACACCAAATTATGGATGGAGTAGGACACATTATCCCAATTTTCCGTAAGAGAGACTCTATCCAATCCACCTCCTCACGACTTGTAGCCGAGGCTCGATATTCGACTTCAATAAAGAAGCAAGCAACGATTCATCGTTTCCTAGATCGTCAATAAATTAGATTTTTATCGAGATAGATGGCAAAGCTTGACGTGCTTTTGTGATCATCTACATCACCAGACCTAATCAACGTCCGTATATGCATCAATCGAGAATGGAGATGATTTTTGAATAAACAATCCATGGTCCTTGGTAACCTCGAAGATAAAAAAGGATCCTTTTAACAATAACCCAATAAGCTTCGAGTGGAAGCATGCATATATTAGGCCATCTTATTTATAAAGTAGACTAAATCGAGTCTAGTAATACCCGGATATTGCACCCCACCTACAACACTTCTATAAAGGAAGGGATCCGAAAATATCGTGCTTGACTTATTGCTTAGTTTGGTGTTAGGACATTCGGGTGTACCGACTCCCTTAGTAGATGCATGTGAGCTCACAACGAAGTTCGGTAGCATATTTTTGTTGAGTAAGAAGAGACCACCTAAGAAGAGACCACCCGATTGGCAATGTGCTTATATCCTAAGAAATTAATGTACATGCCCTAAATGTTTAACGGCAAAAGTAAATTGTAAAGCCAAAATTATAGAGTTGAGTATAGGACCATTGCTGCCCATTACAAGTAAATCATCAACATAAACCAGGCAAAAGGTGATATCATTACCGGACTTCCCGAAGAACAAAGATATGTCTATTTGAGAGCTAGTAAAGCCTAAAGATAGTAACTTATCCGTAAGGCATTTAAACCATTAGCGTGGTACTTGTTTTAAGCCATATAATGACCGCTTCAACTAACAAACGTGAGTCGGTCTCATAGTGTTAACAAAGCCCATTGGTTGGGTCATGTAGACATCTTCTTCCAAAGGTCTATAAAGAAAGGCATTTAAAGCATTTAGTTGTTCTATTAACTAGCTAAGAGAAAAAATAAAAGAAAGAACCAATCGGAGAGCTACTCGGTTTGATCACAGGCTCGTAGATGTCATTGAAGTTTATAGTAGGATGTTGGTTGAAGCCTTTCGCTACAAACGTACCTTATATTGATCAAGGGTACCATCAAACTTAGTTTTAACCTTATACACTCATTTATTACCAATGACATTGTATAAGGGATGACAAGGAATAAGATCCCATATATCATTTTGGAGTAAAGCTTGCATTTCAGCAGGTATTACGACCTACTAGTGTGGTTGAGATTGAGCCTAAAATTATCATTGAGGTTTAAAGGGAAGGACAATGGCTAAAAAGTTCATGGCTTTAAGTTGAAAGTTTTGACATGAGTAAGCACTCTATGAGAAGGAGTTGGAGTTGGTTTGCTTACCGAAGAATCGTTAGGGTTGATCATCGAGTGGTGGCCGAGATCAAGAGTAAGGTTAACGGGAGGGTGATTGAGTGTTTGACATGCTCGAAGGTGGCTACTAGGAAGTTTATGTGTGGGGCTAAAGGCTGCTTGTTTTGTGTTAGATGTGGTTGCATGGCTTAAGGAAGGTGTCTGTGCAAAATCTAAAACTATTGTCGGTGGTCGTAGGTGTGTGCTTGTCGATGAGGGAAAGAAATGCTATGTGTTTTGTGCTTGGATATGGTTGCATGACTATAGTAGGGAGTCGTAGAGAATTTAAAACTATTGTTAGTTGTTGTAAGTGTTTGTTTGCTTGGAGAGGAAAGGACTTGTGGTGAGTGGGGTTTTGGAATGGATAAATGTGGGGTGGATACCTCTAGTGTAGTATAGACTTTTCGGGTAGGTTGTATATGGGACAAGTAGTGGTGTAGTTGTTTGTGGGAGGGTGTCATTTGGTGAAGGCAATAGAATAGAAACTATTTATGGTGGATTATGCAAAACTCGGTGAACTCGATTTGGCAATACAAAAGGAAAAACTTGTTCATCAAATAAGACATGATGCGAGATATGAAATTTCTTAGTAGATAAATCATAACACGGATAGCCTTTAGAAGTTTTGTTATATCTTAAAAAAAAACACAAGTAGAGGATTTAGTTGTTAATTTATAAATGGCATATGGTTTTAATCACAGGTAACATAAGTAACCATATTTTTTTAACTCATTATAGGGAGGACTATTACCAAAAAGGGTGAAATAAAGGGAATGGTTATTTAGTTTAGGTGTGGGAAGATGGTTAATAGTGTAAATAACAGCAAAACCATAAATCCAAAAATGTAATGGAACAAAAGCATGGTTAAGAAGGGCTAAGCTTGTTTTTACTATATGATAATGTTTCCTCTCAGCTGCAATCATTTTTTTTTTGTGTGTGTTTTGGGACGGATAATTCTTTGAGAAATTCCATTTTCATTTAGGTATTTTATTAGGGCTTGGTATTCTCCTCCCCAATCATATTGAAACTGTTTGATGAACCTATCAAAATTTTTTTTCAATAGTGTCTTTGAATTCGATAAAACAACTAAGAACCTCCGATTTATAACAAAGAAAGAATAACCAAGTAATACTTACTATAATGCTCATATTAAAGAACATAATACGAATAACCATCTATAGATGAAACATGAGAAGGTCTTTAAAGTCGAATAAATTAATTCTAATGGTGTCTTAGCCTTATAACTAGATAACGAAAAAGGTAGTTTATGAATTTTACTACGAGAACAAGTATGACATAATGAATAAACATTGGGATAAGGAATAACAAATTGAGAATTCTTTAAAGCTTGGTGAACAGTCTTAAATGAAGCATGCCCAAACCAAGCATGCTATGTTTCTAAGGTAGCATTGTGAGCTTGAATGGAGAAAGGATGACCTAAGGCATGATCTAGGGAGAAGGTGTAGAGACCATTGTCAAGAGGTCCGACATGTGGTAGTTTCTAAGAAGCCAAATCTTTTATAAAGAATTCATCGGGGAAAAATTCTACATAACAAGAGTTATGTTTTGTAAAACTACTCACGGATAGTAAATTTTGAGTGCTAGAAGGGACATGTAAAATATTACTAAAAGAAAAAAATGATTATGCAATTGCAAAGAAGTAGAACCAATATGAGATATGAGAACGTGTTTACCATTAGTTAAGTACAGTTCTTCGAGATATTATACTTGTTGTGAATGATAAGATTATCCAATTACGCTCGTTAAATAATGAGTGGCACCGGTATTCACGATCCATAATTAGTTAAAAGAGTGAGAGTATACAATGTTAGAAGGAGGTTTAGGGAGATGGTTGGTGGGGTGAGACCTCGGAGATGGATAGACATTTGCTAGGTGACCTACCTACACCATTATAATTGTAACATAGTATAGGATCGGAATCGAGCCTCATATGAGGGGAAAAATTATTCCCATGTCGTGAACTAGTAGCAACTAGTCATGCACCATGACGACCTTTGCCATGATGAGAAGAGTGATGATGAGTATAGTGCATCGATATGGGTGTGTTAATTGGTTTAATGCTCTATTGCAGCTGGAGTTCTTCACCGAGGGCAAGAGCATATAAGGTTTCATAGCTGGTAGGTTCATGTCCGGACTCAATGGAATGAATGAAGGGCTTATAAGGAGTGTTGAAGCCACGTAACGATGCTTGTACTAAATCATCAATAGGCAAAGCCGAGCCGAGGATTAAAGGGTATCAAATATACTATTTTGTCATTGGAAGAACTAAGGAATAGACTTATTGGGTCGTTAATCAAGGCGATAAAAGTCGCCTTTAAGGTGGTTGATCCGCATCCTCATACTAGAACCATATCCAAGTAAGTAGTTTGAGCCATGCAGCATGAATAGTAATAGCACTAACCACCAAAGGTAGAATTGTTTCGAGAGGAAGCTAATGATCCAAGTGAGAACTAACCGATCATTGTGTTCCCACTACACATATGTAAGATTTGGTTCATCATTGATGGTGGAAACAAGTGGTTCGTCGAGAGCCATCAATATGGGGTAGCAAACCGAGGCAATGTAGCAAGGGTTGGACTCGTGTTTTCTAAAGAATAAAGTTGGTAGGTGTGAGTTTAAGGAAAAAGTGAGTATTGAGATTGGGAAGGGAAGAAGAAGTCATGGAAAAAGAACTCATGGAAGGAGGGGCCGGGGAAGAAGATGAAGTTGTGACCGCAGTCCGTTCTAATGTTTCAGCAAATATGGTGTAAGGAAGAAGAAGAGAGATATGAAAGAGAGGAAAAAAAAAAAGATTGTTAAGTCACTTTACTCGCTTTGGTACCATGTAAAGTTCCGTATATTCACTTACATAATACGGGGTATTACAAGTGTATTTATATAGATACAATCAATAATGATAAGCATTGGTTTGTTATATCAAGTAATTTAGATAAAGATAAGAGTTAAAATAAAGGAGAAAGTATAAGACTGAAGCTCTTATCTTTATTATTATTAGCGTTTTGGTAATTAATATTTCCTTTCCTCGCTTTCTATCCACTGTATTTTTTTTATCTTCTTATAAATATATTTTTTCATGTCTATCGAAAGTATTTACAATAGTAATCAGTACTTGTATTTCATTCATATAAATTAAAACACATATTTTAATTTAATAGATAGAATACGAAATTATATAATATCTTAATTTAAATATATAGAGTTCGAAATAGTACGGACTATTACGAAAAAAGGAGGCTAGAGGGCCACGGATATTTGTTGTTAACCTTTTTTCTTTCTCCCATATATATTACGAAAAAAGGAGGCTAGAAGCCCACGTATATTTATTGTTAAAGTATGTGTGTTCTGTTTCTTTTTCAATGTCTCATCAATCATTTGCTCCGTAAGTGTAATGTTGTCTCTGTTAACATGGACTTTTTTTCCTGCCGCAGAAAACAAAAACAGAGTTTTTGACATTTTCCGTTGATAGTGTTTTGGGGGACCTTCTCTAGAAGACAAGCAGAGGTTACTAGATATTATTCAAAACCAAGAAATTTCAGGACAATAAATTTCTATAAATAGAAAAATAAGGATGCAATTTTCTGGAGTGAAATTGATAAAATCAAAACATTTGATACTTGATTTATAATAAGGTAATACGTTATAGGCTAAATTGAAGTCGAATGTTGAATTTGTCTTTTTGCAATATTATAATTGGAAGTCTCCTTATACATACATCAATTGATTAAATTAAGAGTTGTAAACTATAAATGTTAGTTTGAAATTCAGGATGAGCTTTCTGATGAAACGATAAAGTGAATATAAATGACATTGATTCACCTTTGTACGTATGCAAGAGTGCGCATGAAAATTTAAGATGTTTGTATTTAGATGTGTTATAATTTCAAGTTCTTTGTTCTTAATCAATTAATTTTAAAGATGTAAATAATAATATAATTGTTTTCTTTTACAGTCATTGAGCAGTAGGTCATGTAGATCAAAATATTTAGTTTTAAGAAAGAAAACAGTTTGTCCATTAGTCAAATATATATACCTCACTGCTATATTACTTACTTTCTACTTACATGAGTAAATGGAAGAACTTGTCTAGTAGTCATCACACCTCAAAGATGGAAGAATTTAGAATTTAGTACTTTTTCATGGTACAAGGAATGGTTCTGCTGTGGTTAACAACATTTCCTGAAGAAAGACAACCTCCTTGTGTCCAACTCGGTGACTGTTGCAATTCCAGAACTACATTACAGCTTTTGCTTTTATAATACAGCTTTTGGTCTCATGGCCATTGGAGCTGGTGGCATAAGAACGTCTTCCTTGGCCTTCGGTGCTGATCAGTTGAGCTCCAGAGACAATCTGTTTCAGCTGGTATTATGTTACAGTCTCAGCTTCGGTATTTGTTGCAATGACTTGTATTGTGTACATTCAAGATAACCTGGGGTGGATGGTGGGTTTTGGAGTTCCTGTAGTGGTCATGATCTTCTCAGCTCTTTCATTCTTCTTGGCTTCTCCTTTTTATGTCAAGTTGAAGCCTAAGGCAAGTTGGATCCCTGGGTTGGCTCAAGTTGTTATGGCTTTCTTTAGAAATAGAAGTATCAAATTATCAACCCAAGCCACAGTTGAGGTCCGCTATCATACAAAGGGATCGATGCTTCTCGGGTCAAGTGAAAGATTGACGTATCATCACTACAGAATTTATAAACTATGTCCTGAATATCCTGCTGTATATTTTACTTGAATACAATACAAATTATGCGTCAAATAGTTTTCTTTATTGACGCATGTAAAATAAACAAAGTTAAGGACGTTTTGAATCTAAGATGCGCATCGAAGCTTTTGTTTTGTGAATTGTTTTTATTCGAAATAACTTCATAGGCTTGGGAATATATTTGTTGTTTTTTATTCCCATTAAGCTTTTTTTTTTTTTTTTTTTTTTTTTTCCTTTACCCTGTGTAATTAGTTTTTTCAACAAAGCTTGCATTATTATAAATCTTCAAGAAGACTTGACTGCGGATGGAAAAGCTTTAGATCCATGGAGTCTTTGTACAGTAGATCAAGTAGAAGATCTAAAAGCATTGATCAAGGTAATCCCAATATGGTCAGCAGGAATGTTGATGTCTGTGAATGTAAGCCAAGGCTCTTTTATAGTTCTCCAGGCATCCACCATGGACCGGCACATCCCTTCAAAATTTGAAATTCCTGTGGCCATCTTCACCTCAATTTTGGTTCTCGTTTTAATCATATGGGTTGCTCTCTGTGATAGCGTTGTTATGCCCCTAATATAAAAAATCAAGGCAAAAACAGTTCGTCTTAGCTTGAAAAGAAGATTGGGAATCAGAATTCTATTATCCACTACCTCCATGGCAGCATTGACAATTGCTGAAAGTGTTCTCAGGGAAACTGCAATCAAGGAAGGATTTTCAGACAATCCTGAAGCCGGATTGCACATTTCTGCAATGTGGTTATTGCCATTTCTTAGCCTCTGTGGATTATCTGAGGCTTTCAATACTATTGGACAGAACGAAGTTGCCTAAAAGCATGTCTAGTTTAGCCTCCACTCTTTATGGGATAGGAATGTCTGCCGCAAACTTGGTATCCAGTTCTATAGTTAGTACCGTTCGGGATTTTACGCAAGAAGAAGGTCAGGGGAGTTGGGTTGCAAGCAACATCAATAAGGGGCATTATGATTATTGTTATTGGCTTCTTGCATGTATGAGCTTTGTTAACTTCATATATTATCTTGTTTGTAGCAAGTCTTACGATCCTTGCGAGGAAGAAGAAGAGAGCATTATTGCAGATGAAGGATTTGGCCGATGACAATTATAAGTCATGGTTCAAGAAATTCTTAATTAGGGCTTCACACTGATGTATTTATGTGTAGTATTATATAGGAAATTGAGTGTTATGAAGTATGAATAGAGCTTCAAAAGATACGTAATACTATGTTTTTATGCATTATTTCTTTACAAATATTAGTTTTAATAAGGAGTTAATTGGTTTCGTAAATTCCTGTAATTTTTATTTTGTATTCAAAAAGGTTATTCATTTATGTTAGATAAAATAAGTACTCCTCTTAAAAATATCTTCTTCACCGATCTTTGTAATTAGAAGTCTACTTTCTTCTACTTTTTTTTTTTTTATAATTTATTTATGTTGCCAAAATCTTCTTGAGCATTAGGTCTCCATCTCAAAATTCTCTAGGACACATTTTTTTGTCATATGTTCTAACCATTCTTCTCCGATATCATAGCCAATTTCTGCTCATTAATCATTTTCAACTATTCGTGTTAGATATTGGCTCATTCTGTCTCTTCAAACTTTTGTCGGGGACCCAAACGATAAGAAGGAACTAAAGGGTCGTCGTCCACTTATTTTGGTTATAGCTAGTGATGGCAATTTGCCCCGCCCTGTCTTATGTCAATTTTTCCCGATCAACGCGGGGATTCCTCACGTTGATCGAGAAACGGGCGGGGCAAGGATGGGATTTGCTCGTTTGTCCCATTTGCCCCATTTCTTTTTTTTTTCATTAAAATTATAATTATACTCCATATAAAATCTATAATTAATGACTTTTAGGGTTTATTTTCTATATAAATTATCATTTTTTTTTGCTATAATTTAAAATTTGGTAGTAAAATTGGATAAAATTAGACGAAAAAAAAAAAAAATTGCCCTGTTTATGCCCCGTGCGGGGTGAGAAAATTTTGCCCCATTCGGAGGAAAGGGAAAATTTTTTAAAGGTCGGGCGAGGACGGGGATCCCCGTTTGGAGCACGGGGCGGGGCAAGGATGGGGATGGCGATCCCCATCCCCGCCCCGCCCCGCCCTATTGCCATCCCCGTCCCCGCCCTACCCCATTGCCATCCCTAGTTGTAGCTCAAATATTGTAACAACCGAAGGGGTATTATGGTCTAATCACGCATAGTAATTTATTTAGCTTCTTTCTTACTTCCTGTTTCATTCGGTTACAATTCCAGTGCAGCGGCACAAAAGGAAATGTGTTCCTTAAAAGTTAATACCGAGTGTAACGATAACATATCGAAATTTAACAAACTTTATTCTCTCTATCTTCTCTGTCTTGCATTCTTCTTCATTCTACATTTCTCGCTCATTCTTCCTCATTCTCTTCTTCAATCCTCTCAATTCCATTTGGTCTCCGATAACTTTGTTCCCATAATACTCGTAAAGAGAGGATTTCGACTTTCAAAAGCATGACCGTTTTCATTTTATAAATCAAGGAATATAGAGTTTCTTATAAGGATGTTCTCATTGTCGTTCGATAGGCATGCAAAGCATAAGATAGTGTCTCATGTCAATCCTTATAAGGGATCACCATCTTTTGTATAATTTTCTTGATATTCTTATTAGCATCATCGACTACACCATCCATCTTTGGTATGTAAAAGGAAGAATTCGATATTTGATTTTCCACTATTTGTAGAGCTCGACAATCAACTTTTTATTGAAGTTCTAAGCATTATTGGTTATCGTGTTTTTGGCAAAACATACGAGTCGAGTCAATTTCTTTTTTATGACTTGAATAAGCATTTTTTAGGTGACACAACATAAGATGTAGCGATGTAGCTTGTACCTATTTGGTAAAATAATCTATTGCAACTAAAATAAAACTATACTCATCACTTTTTTTGTCATATTATTGATCTGATAACATTTAAATCCCATATTGCAAATAACCAATGTGATACAATATTATACAAGAGAGCTAGAGATGCATTGATATCCATAAACTTGACATTTATGACACTTTCAGCCAAACATATTCAATGCAATTTCTTTTTATATTTATTTAAAAATACTCACATCACTACATTTTTCTAGCAATCATATGACCATCTCATCGTCTTGTTTACTGTTAAACTTAAATATGTATACACTGTATCTTATTTCGGAGGAAAAAAAAATAAAAATACTTTAAACTTACTAATGGAATCAGCATGAAGCCGTAGAATACTAGAATCTGGAAGTTGCACGCACAACTTGGCGCGAAAAACATGAAAGACTCCCTGGCTGCTTTGTTTGGGATCGTAAAAGGAAGTGGACAACTTGTTTTCCCTTGATTTTAACTTGTTTATTTGTGGGATTTATATAATAACGAAACTTTTTATTTTTCCTGAGAAAACATATATTTATTCCTGAGAGATTCTAGTTGAAATTTGACGGTTGTTTCATTTTTTTTTTTAGGTTTGTTTTTATACATTTTTGTTAATATATAAAGAATACTAAGTCTGTTTAGATCGTATTAAGATGCGTGGAAATTTTTATTTTTATTTATTTTTTGAACAAATAGATGGAAGTTTTATTGTAAACATATTTTAAGCATGACTTTTTAAATGATATAAGAATGAGATAATTATAATATACGTATATCAACTTTATTATTTCTTTTGTTTGAGTATAATAATTTTTTCAAAATTACTAATCAAGTACTTTCGTCAATTTTTACGTTAAGTGATGATGTGCTTTTTATCTTCAGAATATCAAATTACAATTTTACCCCTTTTCTTCTCAATAGAATATATGAACTTTAATTTTTTTTCAGATTGAGTACACCATTTTAAAAAAAATTATCAATCAAGTACTTTCATCAATTTCTTCATTAATTAATAATGTGTCTAAATACCAAATTATATTTTTTCATCTTTCATTGTAAGGAACTTTCTCCTTAATTTATTCTATCATCTTAAAATTTGATAAAGAATTAAAAATATATTTTTAATTATAAAATCTCAAACTAAGTTTAGTAAGATTTACTCGTTAAAAAAAATCGGTTAGATTTTGAACTTGAAAATTGAAAGAAACACAAGTGAGATTTTTCATTAAAAAGATTCATTTGTGTTTTTCTTTAATTTTCACTCTTAAACATAATTGCGTCTTTTTTAACAAAAATCTAATTGAGTTTATTTTAGAATTTTATATATAAAAAATAATTTTTTTAATCATTCATCAAATTTTGAAATAGAAAAATAATTTGAGGAGAAAGTTGTTTTTCAACAAAAAATGATAAAATTAAAATTTGATATTCGAATACATATCAACTAACGAAAAAAGTAATATAAGTATTTGATTGATAGTTTTAAAAAAGTTGATGTATTAAAAAAATAATAATTAAAGTTCTTGTACTCGATTGAGAAAAATGATAAAATTATAATTTGGTATTTTGAAGATAACGGACATGTTATTAGTTAAGGAAAAAATTGATAGAAGTAATTAATTGATAGTTTTGAAAAAATTGATGTACTAAAAAAAACATAAGAATTAAAGCTCATGTACTCGATTGAGAAAAAAATTAAAAATTGGTATACTTATAGTGTAATTATCCCATATAAGAAAACATTATTCTTTTCTTTTTGTGAGGTAAAAATTGTGTCAACTATTAACTTAATTCCAATACATAAATCAAGATTTTATTCAAAGTATTTAATTGGACTGAAATATTTAGTTTCTATTATATTGAAAATTATAAAATGATTTAAATGTTTCGAAAATTTATGATTTAATGGTGTCGTGTTTTGTCACGACCCCGAAAGTAGGTCATGAAACATTAATGAAGCTATTGCGAAGGCTACAAACTTATCTAATAATAATGGGCAAATTGGTGTATTACCCAATCACGCGCCTATTGCCACAACCATTGATATCGGTATTTTGAGAATACGCCTTAACGACCAATGGTTAACGATGGGTCTCATAGGCGGTTTTGCTAGAATAGGTACTAATAAGGTCACTATTTTATTAAATGATTCTATAATAATTGTTTTCTCCCCTACCCTCTTTTCTCCGTTTTAAAAAAATGGTAATTAATTACTTACTAGCTAACGAGGACAATCCTCATTTTTTTTTTATCAAGAAAATATTGTGGAGATGGGATTTGAATCCATGACCTCATGGTTATGAGCCTTGTGAGCTACAAAGCTACTCTACCTCGCATGATGGAAAGAAGAAGTGGGAACTAATGGACAAACAAGGATTGAATGCGCATTTATACGGAATGGTAAAGAGGCTCCTTTATGATCGATGATCATACAAATGACTAGAAAAATGAAGAAAAATTTTGAATCTTTACCAACTTGATCTTGTTGCCCCCAGCAACAAACATGCATGAACCATTTCATGAAGTATGTGTCCGGATAGCCCAAAATCTCAATAATTAGCTTTTGGTCTTCTAGTCAAAAAATAACTTCGGTGAAGACGTGTTGCTACACTATTTCGTGGAGAGGATTGTAACTTTCCATGAGTTTCCCATTTATCACTCAATGACAGAACTTTGCTTATTTATTTTTTTAAGGATCGATGAATCAAATGATATTTTTATCCCAAATTTTGCCTCTTATTCCGCACCTAAATCAAACTTTTCCTTGCCATAATGTTTCACTTCTTATTAGTATCACCGATACAAAAAGTAATACGAAGCGAGGATTGATTTCTTGCTAAAAGGTATTTATGCTTTCAATTAAGATGGGATGATTCTTTAAATAAAAAACAAATCAATAATATCAAAGTATATTGTCTCCTGCTTAGATTGACAAATCCACGAGAAATTATTATATCCTCTCGTTCAAAGGAGAGAGCTGAGTCTAGATATTCTGATGATTCAGAAAGAATTAACTCTCATAGAATTGATGAAAAAGGGAATATTGATTATTGAATTAGCCCGTCTATCGGTAAAAAATGATGGAAATTTATTATGTATCAAACCATAAATATTTTATTAGTTCATAAGAGAAAACAACAAATTAATCAAAGGTACGAGAGAAAAAAGTTATATTGATAAAAAGAATTTTACCAAATCTATTGTAATATATCAAAGTTTAACTAGAAATAAAAACAAAAATAATTATGATTTACTTGTTCTTGAAAATGTTTTACCTTGTAAACATCGTAGAGAATTACTCAAAATTCTAGGTCCAATTGAATTTATAGGTATAGGAAGAAGCCCTATCAAATAGAGATTTTTTTTTCTTTCGACCATCTTTCAATTGTTAATACGATATATAAGGACCACTACTACAACTAGTACTACACCATTGATCATAAAATATCAACTCGCTTGTTGAAACCTATAAATTGCATGAAAATAGGATCCTCCAAATTTGAGAGTCCAAGAGTTTTATAAAATATTCTTGATGAAAAAAAAATGTGAATGAAAAATCGACTAAATTGAATTGGTCCATGAATTTAAGAAATAGTGAGAATTCTTGATCTCTCTTAATATCTCTCTCAATAGCACGAGAATCGAAGGAACTCGTGAGGTCCTTCTCGACTTAAGCAAGCCTCGAATACTTATACTACAATCATCAAACCAATATCACCTCAAATATCATTTCATTTATAATATTATTAACTAATATTCATCACATTATAATTCTAACACAAATCCTAATTCAATGTTTTTCTTACATTTCTCAAATCAATATCCATAATCAATTTCTAATATAACACCCACAAGCTATAACTCGCGAGCTTTTAAGAATACAATAGGATCAAACATAAGTTCTAAGAGATTACGAGGAAATAAGTCACACGATCAATGTGTCGACTTGAAGACAAATAGCCGAATGGAAGATAAAGAGCACCTCCACAAATCCTCCAAAATTGAAATAGCGAAGGGTGAGCAATCAATAGCTAAGTAAGTAGATATTATATAACACATCTAAAGAAGGGAAACCGACTAAGAATAATAACTTAAAATTGTAGCTCAATATGCAATGCTAGTTTCTTCAAAACCAATACATATCATAAAACCAAATCATACATCATAGCTTAATTGTTTAAAACCATTTCATATCAAATCATCGTATATATATATATATATATATATATATATATAATGACTTAGAATTACTTAATCCATTTTTCTTCAAATGGGTCTCAAAAACTCTAAACTTAATCTAATCAATTCCTCATTCAATCGAGTAAACCCAATGTAATCTAACTTTAAAATCACCACTAAATGCATATAAGCATTCCAATTTAAAGATCAATTGATCAAAAATCTTACCTTTGACACTTGATCTTCAATCCCAATTTCTATTTCAACTCTCAAAGCTTTCCAAACTTCAATCCAACTAAACTTCACTTAAATCTACTTGTTTATGGTTTTTATAAGCTAATTTAACAAGGTTTTTAGCTTAGGATTTCAAGGATGGAGATGGGGGGAATTTGGAGACAAAAAGCATGAGAATGAGAGGAGAAGAAAAAAAATCTAGAAAAAGGACAGCTTTGCCCCTTTTTATACCCAGACCTAGATTTTTTTACTTAAATATTATTACATGTTTAAAATGAAATTGCTATTTAATAAAAATTAAATTAATATTCAAATTTTCATTAGTATATTTAAAATAGGATTTTGAATTGGGTAGAGGACTTAAAAAAAAAAAATTGCGTCCAATAAGATTTTTCAACCAAGCTTAACTTAAATCTACTTGTTTATGATTTTTCTAAGCTAATTTAACAAGGTTTTTTTATTTATTTATTTTTGGGTAATACGATTGCAAAGAATTATGGTGATCAAGGTAATGATCTCATACAAGTATTGGACTTTATAGAAACACAAATATTTTATAGATTTTAAATTTTCATAATGAGACAGATTTAACTAAAAAGATATTCTCAAGTTCATTATTAAAAAAAAATTAAAAGATTTGAAGGTGGGACTGTTCATTCACTCTAACGGTACCTTTTCTTTTATGACTGAATTTTTTTTTTTTAAAAGGGCTAGGCTATTGGAACTGTTCTTTCATTATAACAAATCACTTTTTTTTTTTTTTAGAATCTGTTCATTCATCGTAGCATTATTATTATTATTATTATTATTATTATTATTATTATTATTATTATTAGGGTTGGGTCTGCTTGGAACTATTCCTTCATATAGCGTTCCATTTTTTTTTTTTTTTTAGGTCGAGTTGTTGGCAATTGAGAAAAGTAAGGAGGATGGGTTTTCGGTTTCTATATGTTCTCTACTAGCAATTGTTCCCCTTCTATATAAATAATTTTTTTATATTTTTTTTATCATGAAATTAGGTGTGAAAATATAAAAAAATAATTGTTATTTTTTTTAGTTTTACATACAGTTTGATAAAAATAGAATATATATGATATTTTTTAAGATTATAATTTGAATATATATATATATATATATATATATATATATATATATATATATATATATATATATATATATTGTGTGTGTGTGTGATTATATTATTTTTATTATTTAAAATTTATTTCTTCAATTTTTTGTTCCTTATTAAAATTTTTATCGAATTAATTTTTAAATTTTATATAATTTTATTTTTTAATAATTTTTTTTTTAATATATGGCTTTTGAAATAAAAGTTTAGGACATGATTGTTTTGTTTTTTAAAACATATTATTACAATTGATATGATTGATTATTTTTATAATTTTGAAATAAAAATGACATTGTTGCATATATAAATTCCGATGAGGGAGAGAGAGCTAAAAGTGTGTTTTAGATAATTTGACTTAATTTTTTTAAAAAATAATACTCGATTAAAAAAATAATTTGACTTGTTTTTTTTGAAATAATAATTAGTTAAAAAATTCACTAGTTTTATTTGGTTATATATATATATATATTAAAATTTATAGAAACCAATTTTATAATAATTTTTATTTAAATCTATTCACTTCGATATATTCCATGCAATTTAAGTGGGTTTTTTTATATATTTTTTAATTTATTTTCTACACACTAAGTCTACTAAGTACGATACACACACACACACACACAAACAGAGTTTTGTCATGTATGAATTCTAATGAGGGAGAGGAAGAGAGCTAAAAGTGTATTTTAGATACTTTGATTTAATTTTGTTAAAAAAATAATAATTAGTTAAAAAAATAATTCGACTCAATTTTTCTAAAAAAAATAATAATTAGTTTAAAAAATTCACAGGTTTCATTTGCTTTTATACATATATAATTAGAATTTATTAAAACCAATTTTATAGTAGTTATCATTTAAATCTATTTACTTCGATATATTCCGCGCGATTTAGGTGGATTTTTTTTTATATATTTTATATTTATTTTACATACTCTAAATTTGCTAAGTATAATATATATAGTTTTATTAGAAATTAATTATATCTTCATACATAACATCAATTATTTGTTATTTATTTTTTTCATGTTCTAAAATCTGTATTTTTAAATAAAATAATTTAATGAATGTTTTGAAAGAACCTTTTAATTATTCAAATATAAATTTTTATACAAATATTATACATTATTTTGTTAATAAATATATATAAATCAAACAAGTTTGCTCAATATATTGATTTAATTTACATTAATTTTTAAAAACAAAACATCTACTCGCATCATACCATCCGGATCGTTAACCCCGTGTATATAATGGTTGTCCGACTGTAACGTAGCACAGGTATTTAACTAGTATGAAATTAAAATAATTGTACTATTTCTTGATTATAATGAATTATTTGGAGTTGTGATTGTATTGTTTTCTTTATTATAGTAAATTATTTCGGAATTGGTCCTTTAATTTTTTTCAATTGCAATTAAAATATTTTCATATAAATTAATTTTTTTGTAGTTATATTCTTATAATTAATTATTTTTATATTTTTAATTATTGTATATGTTTGATTTAATTATTTTCTCACAAAATTTAATTATACACAATCAAATTAAATTTCCAACACCGACTGATGCAACTCTATGGTTAGTATTATAGCTGTTATCCTAAAAAAAAATCTAAAGTGGGGGTCCATTGCTTGATATTTATGAGAAAAGGAATGAGCCTAAGAGTTAGACAAGGAAGTGAATGAGAAGAATGGGAAGTCCTTTTTTTTTTTTTTTTTTTTTGTCTATATATATATGTAGAATTTGCCGCCTGATTTGACAAGCAGTTCAAAGAAAGATATTTTTGTTCAAAATTA